TGACAGGAAGAACAGACATGACAGGAAGCACTCCATGACAGGAAGAACAGACATGACAGAAGCTCTTCAGCAACCAAGGGATTCACGACAGGACACATCATTTCACCAGCTTTTGCCAGGGGATCAATTCCCTTACTCTCTGACTCCTATGTGGTCTTTCAGTGGAGGAGGGAGGAAAACATGTCCTGCTTTAAATGTCTTATCAAAGTGGGAGTAGCCACTCAACCCCACAAACCTCTCCTTTGATAGGAAAGGGGAGACATGGTGCGGTGGCTGTGAACTGATGTCCCTGTCCCAAAATGTCTGTCATTACTATGCAGTCTTAGGATCAATTCTAGGAAAATGACTCAAGGAAATATATTAACCTTTAAACAAGTACCAGGGACCTCACAGTGGGTTTTCACAAATGACCTTTGTGTTAATCTTGAAGATCACTTGTGTTATTTCCATGTGAACTATCATGTAGCACATTCTCTATCTAGAGTTGAGATTCTTTTTAATCTGTGTGCATACATTTGTGAGGATTGTAATAGCAGTTAGAGGCTTTTTTTTTTCCTCCAAATTATACATAGCTGAGTGCTGGTGAGCAGGTAGGCATTTGTGCCCCATTCATTTGTAGTAACTTAGTGAAAACTTTTTCATTCTTTTTCTCATGGATGCTGTCATCATTAGAAAGAGGAAGGAATGCAGAAAAATGCTCGTGTGGTTGTTTTCAAGGTCATAAAATTCTAAGGGTTTCCAATTTGTAACACATTTGCAACATTACAAATATTCTTTCTTCTTTTTTCCCTATCAACATTAAGTACATATTTTTCCATACCAACATTAAGTACATATTTTCAAAATAAACTTTCCAGCTCTTTAAAGTCAAACTATGGTTGTCCCTAGAGGGATTGCAGGGATGACTTCTGTGTCACATGTATGTCATTAGGTGGCAGAGAGGAGGGTGGGAGAGCTTGCCCTGAGATCCTAATAGCAGGACAGCCGGTCCTGCCCCTCACCTGCTATAGCAGTCGGGAGAGTGGGCTCTGCACCTCTTCTGGGCAGCACAGTAGAGCCTGGATGTGGGCTTTGCAGGTGAGCTGCCCCTGAGGGTGTTAGAGCAGGAGGGCTGGCAGGCTGACCAGCTCAGAGACCTCTCAGGCCCAGATGCAGGGCATGAATTGGCCCAGTCCAACATCTACCCTGTAGATGAACTGCTGGAGTGCATGAAGAGGCTGGACCTACTGATCCAAATGTACAGGATCTCATGACACAGGGCAACAACAGGATGTCCAAGAGGAGTCCCAGTGAGGTTCCAGTACTGATAGTGTCGCTGAAGCCAGAGGCCTCGTACCAGCCAAATGACTCATTGCAATGAACACTTGCAAGCAAAGAAATGTAAACCAAAGGGTATACGGTGAGATACACTGTGACACACTTACCGCTTCCACGAGATTTTTTTCTCTGTTGGGGGGAGAGGTTGTAAGGATGGAGGATGGGTAGGAGAGGAGGGGGAGATTGGGGTACATGTGAAATTCATGAATAACAATTAAGTTGTTTTTAAAAAATACAAACTACGATTCTGCATTTAATTCACAGACTGTCACTTCCACAATCTTCCTCCCAGAAACAGTTGGATTCCCAGCATGATGTGTAAGAAAATGTTCTCTGTTTGGTTTGGTTTTGAGACAGAATCTCTCTCTATTGCTCTGGCTGACCTGAAATACACTATGCAGACCCACCCGACTGTGCCTCCCCAGGCCTGGCATTAAGATTAAGGGCATGTACCACCACACCTAGCCTTTCTCATGTTAAATTATTTTTTTAAAATTTTTTTTTGAGACAGTATCTGTTCATGTACTCTGGCTGTCCTGGAATTCACTATGGAGACCTGGCTGGCCTTAAACTCATAAAGATCCACTTGCCTCTGCCTTCTGAGTGCTGAGATTAGCGGCGTGAGCCACCATGCCTGGCTTTACATGTGCTTAAGTGTTAACTTTGAAACTGCTATGGTAGGAAAGAATTTACGGTAAGGTGGCTTGACAGACCTTTTGCTGCTCACAGGAGCTTCCTTGATTCTGAGCATACAGAGTCCTTACAAATGCCAGACCGGGGGTGGAGGGCAGCAGACTTCCTACTGGTCTTTGTTTAAATGGGGTTTGCTATTTGCTTGTCTAGAAGACACTCTATTCATCTCCCTCCAAAGATAGAGCCTTACCTGATTACTAGCTGCCTAAGGGTAGGGTGAGTAGCCTGGTGTCTAGCTGTCAGTCAGAATGGATGATCAACAGGGCAGTGCTGGTATAAGCCTGTAACCCTCCCTATGTGGGAGACTGAGGCAGGAAGACTGAAAAAGTTCAAGGCCAGTCAGAGCGAAAGAGCAAGTTTACAGCCAGTCTGGGCTACACTGCATCAAATCAAAACATTAAGAAAGGGTTGTACTGTAGGTCAGAGGTAGTGCCACCGAGTGTGTGTGAGTTGTAGGTACCATCCCCAGTACTGAATGCTGTACTGTGTATATGTCCCTGTGAAGCCATTGCTCCGGCCCCATTACTCACGTATTGTAATGTTTTGTTGCTTATATATTTAGGAGACACTTGTTTTTGCCCTTAGATTTTACCGTGTAATATCAACCAAATGTTGGTCTGTATGAGGGGGTTTGGAGGAAATCAAGAACTATAACTGACTTCCTATTCTTTTTGAGAAATGACTTCATGTATTTGTTCTCAAAATATCAGAGTATTAAAAAAAAAACCAAAATACTGAAAACAAGGGCTTACTTTATTTAAAAATTTTTTTCTTATTGAAAAGACTTTTTAAAACAATTACTATATTTTAAGCCACATATTTAGTAAATAGATATTTTTAAAATTATGAAAAAAATACCAGTAAGAGAAGAGGAGGAAGTAGAGATGGGGAGAGAAGAAAGAATACTGATATTTCGTATTTGGGGAGTATAGGCTTATTTTGTACTTAATATACTATCTAATTTATAGATAATGGCTTCAATAGAACAATGTACAGTGAAGTGAAATTTGGTGTAGAAGCTGCCTGGCCACAACACAAGATGATGTGCCATCCGTTGCTACATTCACTTCCTGACCTGAAGGCCACAGGGCAGTCAGGCTCAGAAGCTCCCAACCACTAGAAACAGAAAGCCAGTTGAGAACAACTGCTCTGTCTTCAGACTTGAACTGAAAGCTAAGCAGCGCAAGTCCCTATACTGTTGGCATCGCGGTAATTCCCAAATTCTGAGGTAGCCAAACATGGAGCTGGAGGTAAAACAAAGAAAGAATAATAATGAACCAGTCAGTCTGATAAATGGACCCCTGGGTGAAAATGCTTTCTGTCCCTGTGAGTCCTCTGGGAGACCTTTGTGCTACAGATAGGACTCGTTAAGCTCCCCAACAGAAGGATACTACAGTCCATCTCATCTCTTGAAAAGGATGGGAAAGGAAGCAGGCATCAGACACTTCTCCTTCAGGACCAGTGCAGCTTCCCTTTCTCAGTCGAGAGATAGCTGGTACTCACAGGTACCTACCAATAGACAGGCTAGTACCCACAGGCTCCCACTGACATACAGGAATGACCTGAGATGAAGTTTGCTACCAAGTATCTCTATTCTACCAGGATGGCCCAGCTTGGCCAGGATGTGGCTGAAGTGTGAGGAGCTCCATGCAGCACCGGAGGGTTAGGTGAAGGCATTTGTTTTGGTATGAAACATATTTACTGAGTTTTAGGAAAGTGGCCATTAATCTGCTGAAATGTTCCTCTTCTAAACAGAATTTCTAACATAGGGCAAAAACACTCTTCTGAAGAGATAAGCAATGCAAAGGAAGCTTTTACACAGTGGATAATCAAAGTGACAAACGACAGATAAGGTCCCGAAGGAGAACCTCATAGCACCGGCTTGCTGAACTGGGGAGGCCAGACAGAGATGTTCTCTTCCTGGATCACTGAAGAGAATGATTGACAGCTCTGGCCACCTCCAGGACAATCACTGGAGTGACATGTATAGAGATTCCCATTATTTAGAGCAGATTTCAGCCTAATACAATTTCCTGTGGCTGATATGAGCTTCGGATGTTGCCATGCGGCTGTTACTCTAAGACCAATCTCACTTGCCATCACTGTTCTAGAAAGCATGCCTAAGAGGCATTCTGGTTGTACAAAGCATGTTAATAAATACCACTCTCACCCTTCACCACTGGTAAAGATGCTTCTCATTATTTATGGGTTCAATACTGCAAACATCTAGGCTCAGTTCTTGAGAACGTTGTCCTGTGGCTAATCTAACTCTACGGCATTTCTTTGTCAGCAATTCTAAAACTCTCTCTCGTCACACCAAGTACGGGTACCAGTGACGCTGATCAACGAGAGTCTGGCTGCTAATATATACCGAAGACATCCATCTCTTAAAAATTGCTTCCAGAGTTAATATATTCTTTGGTTTAAGTTAATGTTAAATAAGCAAGTGATATAAAGGAGGTCTGAGGGAAATGAGAAGCAATTCAGATCCAAACAAGTTTTCCTTTTTTCTAGTCATTCCTTCTGTGTTTTCCCAGCAGTAAAAGGTGATTTGTGGGTTGAGCTAGCCCTGGTCATGACTTCATGCTGTCTTCACGGATTAGAAAACTTGTCATTACAGTGTGTTTGTCACGTTTCGGGACTCCCAGTTCAAACTGTTCAGTTATACAAAGAATAAACATGATAATAGCACCTTCAAAGTTCACACTAATGCAATAGAATGACAGCTATCTCCTCTCAGACTTTCCAGAGAGTCCTTGAGCACCTTTGAGCACCTCTGAGTAGGTTCATCTCCCCCCTCCCCTATGCCTAAAACAAGAAGCATCTCCCCTGCTGTCAAGTAAGCATCCTGAATGCCCTCTGGGCAGCAGGAAAGAGGTGGCCTGAATTTGTCCTTTGATGCATGTGCGACACAAATAGAGTTCAAATCAAAATCTTCTAAAGCAGTCGGGCTCCTTAGAACCTTTGTCACAGAAAGTTCTCAGTTCTCTGCTGCTGCTCTCAAGCAGTTGGGGTTCCTGCCCTGTCTTCTGAGGCACGGGAAGAGAAGGTCATCACACCTCCGAGCTGTCGTTGTAGTGGCTCTGCGGGGACATCATGGGCTCAGTGCTTCCAGAGCCCTTTGGAGTATCCTTGCCCTTGATACTCCTGTTCCTGCACATGACCGCTGCCACCACAGCCAGGCAGACAATGAGCAAGCCCACCGCGATGCCCCCCAGGACAGTGACAAGGCTCACTTCAGAGCTGGGACTATTGAGCTCCCAGGGCAGGATGCCATCAGGAGGAATTCTTCCGTGGGGGACCTGCCTCTTGCCACGGCGGTCCAGGGAAATGTGTTGGATATTTGTTCCCCGGTTGTTCTCAGCACCGATTTCCCCTGCGAGTGAGGGCGTGCTCCTGACTGCTCTCTTCTTCCAGCTCTTGGTAGTTGCCTGGGGTGGTCCATGCTGCACCACAGAGTGATATTGGTACTCCAGGCTCCTCTTGCCAATGCCTCGATGGGTGTTGTCCTTTGACTTAACCGTATAGATTGTGTGTATGTACCATTCGCGGCCCAAGGCAACCTAGAAAACACAACCCCAGATTTAGGAAGTTAAATTTATTGTGCACCCAACTCGGGATTATCTGCAGAAGAAATTAGTTACAGAGTTCATGATAAATGACCATTTTGTTTGTGAATTAATCTGCACCACACTCTTCTGTGACAGGTTTGTATAATGCCAACTCCAGGATACATTCTGTCTAACTCCCCCTCCTTCTTAGTTCACAGTTTGGTGGCTCAATCTCATACTCATACATGCTAGACAAGTGCTGTATCACTGGCATATACCCTCAGGGCATCCTGTATCACTTTAGTTGACCACGTACTGCATTTGCAGTCACAGTGAACACTACAGTCTTTTTGACCTCTCAGTCTCTCTTACTAGCTTAAAGAGTAAGTTGATGGGACCACACAGTTTGATGCTTTGCTCTGTCTCTTTTACCTAGTCAGTGC